CCCCCCCCCCCCCCCCCCCCCCCCCCCCCCCCCCCCCCCCAAAAAAAAAAAAAAAAAAAAAATCGACATGTCTAATATCTTCTCTCTGGAACTGTCTGAAAATTATCACAATATTTGGAAAATGTGGTGTTTTTATGACATGCACGTTCATTGTTTCTGAAAAAAAAAAAAAAAACAAAACAAAAAGCACTTATAAATCACGAACCAAACAAGGAGTCGGTGATCTACCAAAAGAACCAGAAACAGACCTCACAAAATGTTCCATAAAGACCTGAAGGGCACGCTCTACCAGTCACAGAACCATTTTCACCTCCACCACCCTGTTCACCACCTGTACCTCCCCTGCATAAAACAAGCAATGGTGATTAAAACCGAAGGTCTATCGCTCTTGCTAAACTGGGAAAAGAGAACCACCAAACAGCTTTACAATGCAATTAAAACTACAGAATTAATACACAAAAAGGAATCAGCTTAGATAGGTGGGCCTTTACGTAATTCCTCTGTTTGGAGAAGGGATGTCTTGTCCCTTCATCCCTTAGGCCATTCCGGGCCATTTGGTACCTTTTGAATGGAAGACATGGCTTCTTTCTTTCCTTAAAAGGAAATATCCAAAATGAGCCAACACAAAAGAGGCACCCTAATAATTAAGTTGACAAATTCATACCGGTACCATCGAAAGAAAAGAACTTAGTATGGGAAAGGTACTAACCAGGTCCCAATATGTCCTTTCACACTAGCAATGGGCTGGTACACATCTCCTGTAGGTATGTGGGCCCAATGAAAGTGAATCCTTCCTCCACCACCTCCACCACTTCCATTTGCTACACTATATCCACCAGTACTTGAAAGAACAGCAGATGAACCAAGAGCCATTGTATGAAGAAAAAGGAGGATAGTTCCCCCAGACCCTCCCCCAGGACCTGTACTAGAGCCTTGAATATTAGTCAATTTTTTCACGTCTTCAATTCCGTTGAAATTGTCTCCATCAGATGTCACCGAGCCTTCAATGGACAAGCTTGACAAAGGATGCGCTATAGAGCCCATCACTGCATATATAACGGGAAGTGTAGTTAAAAAGAATTGCATGGCTATTAAGCTAATTTAGTAGAAGCTGAATATTTATTTAGATTAAAGTCCCCAAAGGGAATAGAACAACGCACACGCAGTAGAAACTCACCTATAATGCCTCCACCTGATGAGAAACTAGCTAAAGTACCATTTCCACTCCCGCTACCAAGCTCACAGGGAAGATCTGCTTCCCCATAAGAGATGCCACCTGCAACACAGTTATTATTGAAGCATCCTTCCCCACCTTTACCACCATACCCACCACCACTGTATATTCCACTGCCAACGGCATTCCCTCTTCCCACACCGCCTGTGCAGCCTGTAATTGCAAAAAATGCTCAAATCTAAAAAAAACACAAGTGTTCTTTCAACCAAATACAACTTCATGATAGAAGCTGGAAACACCCAAGCAAACAGAATTTACAAGTGGACAAATAGTTCTCTAGGTAACTCAAAACCTGAACACCCTCTTCGGGAGGGAGGGAGGGTACAAGTAATCTTTATTAAACAGTGGTATCGGTGATAAGGCACCAACCCAAGTAAAGGCCAAGGGATTACAAAAACGTAGTTATTCAAAGAATGATAAGAATTAAGAAACAAAATAAATAAATAAAAACCAAAAAATTAGAGAAAGAACTCAACAAACAAGTCTTGTACTAAATATCATCCCAAATTTCCTTCTCCTTTCTATGAATAGTCCTGGGAGAGTCTATGGTTGCTCTCAAGACAAGAAATAATCCGGGTAATTTGATGAACCTAGAAGCTTCCCCTCGAGCAAACCTCATGCAAGACTCTCAATGATACTTCTTTCCTTATTCCACTTGCTGACAACACTTCTCTCTTACAACTCAGACTGATTACCCATGTCACATGCCACAATCTACTCCTATCATATATTAACGGACAATGTGGTATTCTGTTTCACATTGGAATCTAATTTGTGTATTACTTAGTGGCATGTGAGATTGGTAATCTGTCTGAGTTTCAGGTGTGTGCGTGGATGCATATCAAAGCAAAACAAATGAACAATATCCAAAAAAACATATGGGAGAACCTTAATCATACATAAGAAGATAAGTAAACCTACCCATCCCAGATGCACTGATGATCCCACGAGACAGGACAGTTATAGTTCTTGCCCTGTGGAAATGAACCACCGAACCTTTGATAAGACCCTCTACAGTGATATCTTCAATTCTGCAGATCTGAAATGGCGACAAAGTATCACATCAATACAAAAATGTAAATCCCTTGGCAGACTATTCCATTCTGATAAGCACCTGGAGAGTGAAAGATAGCGATGAGTTCACATTGCAATCTTCAGGTGGACGGAATAGTTCAATAGGGCAATCTTGGTCTCCACAGTAGAGTTTAGGAGTCCTATCAAATGTGAAAATTAAAATTAGCAGTTTCGAAATGATCAAATATGCACAAGAGGAACATAAGCCAGATTCAATCTTACACAGTATTTTTTGCGGCATCATCTACAGGACCTCGCAAAATAGATCCAGGACCAACCTTTTACCCCCAAAATAGATAACCAAATTAATAATCAAACATAAAGACCATAAACCATTTGCTCCCTAATGATTCTCATCAAGTAAACAATGGATTAAACAATTCTATTAATAAAATAATGGACTTCCCAAACAATAGCTGCAAGTTGAACTTGTGGAAGGATAGAAGGTTGTAGAGTGAGGATACGTCTAATGTAAACAGAATCGAATTCTAAAGAATAATCAAACTTGAAATGCGAGGAGTTCTTTCTCACAGTTGGACCGAAAACATCTTTTCAGGATCAAGAGTCATCTACTTAGCTAAATACTTGAGATATTCTTTTAATATCTTGAAGAAGAAACAGCAATTTAATGGCTTAGAACTATGTACAAAAGTTGAGTGCACGATACAAAGTTGATAACCTTCTGTTGTAAACTAAATATGATGAGCACAGTGATTACTTTTATAAGGATGTTTATATCCAATTATAGCATTCCACCATGCTGGATCTAATCAGAATAAATGACCAAAGGAATTGATACAACTAATCAACCAACTNCCCCCCCCCCCCCCCCCCCCCCAACCTCTACAATTTCCATATCAACCATGAAGTTATTTCTTGTCTAAAAAAATTTCAAGAGTAAACATTTCATACTTCATTGTTTTTTATTACATAAAGTAAGTATTAAAAATGATGGTCAGTCAAAAAGTAAATTCATTGATACTTACATGAATACTATAAAATAAAGACAGAACTAAACGTTGTGCTTCAATCCGATCTCCCGGACCCGACAAGTTCAATAAACCTTGTCCATGGACTCCCAGGTTAGCATTAGAATGTATAATAGATGATTCCTATATCAAAAATAAAAGAATGAGATTCCTTAAAATGGAAGGCTACAAAGAAGAAATGTCAAAGGAAGTTAAGATTAAATTACCCGAAGAACAATTAAGTTACTAGCCTCAAGCAAGGATGTCAAGACACCAGAATCTCCACCTCCATATATAAGCATTTTAGAATCCCACATCAAAAACATTTTCACCGACATGCGTAGTGCCCCATATACCTGGAATTGTAAACCATGCATTCTCACATCACAACTCAAGGAAATAACAATATCCTGGAGAATGATTGATACCAAATAGCTATATAATCATGAGAATAAAATACAAATTTCCTAATTCTATATATAAATAATATAAAATTACAGGGAAGTATATAATATTAATACTACCGCAGCAGTTCACCCAGGAAACACTTGATTCTCCTTCCTTGTTACTGACCCCCCCCCCCCCCNCCCCCCCAAAGAAAAAAAAACTAATTTTCATGAGGTTAAATGGGAAACAAATTGTAAGTTAGGACAACAGATAGAGTTGGCTCAAAGAGTCTTACGGTTACGTGGATTATGTGATGTGAATATGAGAGTACCAAGGTTCCTGAACCCCTTGGTTACCCATTTTCTAAGTACTCATATTTCAGAAAATGCCGAACTATGCTGATGATTTTTTCTGTGGTGGGTGCGTGCATGTTTAGGCAAACCATTACACATTATGACAAGATTTTCAATATCATTCAATAAGTTGAAAAATGATAAGAAAACAAAAGTAAAAGCACACAAGATAAAACACAAGCATACAACAAAAAAGAAAAGAGTGAAATGAAAACAAATTGACAAATTTGCATGAAACAAAAAGGTTTAACCATGATAAATATTCATTCCCGTTTCAAATCATGAACAGACGAAGAATAACAGTACTGCAGGCATGCAGCGCATAACCGTAAGACAAAAAAAGGGGTTTACCTTGATTTCTGAATTGCTCATTAAGAGTTCTTCTGCCAATAGCTCAAACTCTGATGAGGCAAAGTGAGCCAGCCCAAAACTTAAAACTCCCCCAGATAGAAGACTAATCTGACCTTGAACCTAGTTAGTAGTATTGAGAACCAAGATTGAGATTGTTGATAAAGCTCATGTCAACATAAACAAAAGGGATAGAGGAAACATACATCAGATGCATCGACTGAGAACTTGGCATGCACAATAGATGCTAGTATCATTTTTTTTTTTAGACCAACTATCAAGCCATCCACAACAAATTAAAGATAATTAAACTATAAAACAATCTCTAAGGCGCAAAGCACAAAAGTTTCAAAAATAAAAAACTTGCACTAAGATGAAGCTCCAGGGCCAGATGGTTTTACAACTAAATTCTTTATCAAGTTTTGGTCCTTAAAATTGGATTTCTAGAAACTGTAGCAAGAACTGTTTGCAAATGGGCATGTAAAATTCTTCGACGGTTATTCTTCTTGTGACATTTTTATCTGGAGGGCTTTCTTGTAGGATTTCAAAATCATTGGGCTGCTACGTTTTTTCATTTTCATTTATGCTTTATTTATTTCTCTCAGTCTACTCTTTGTAGACTTCTTGTACTCTCTTATAGCTTTTCAATCTTCAATTACAACTTCTGTTTCTTATTACTGAAAAAGCCGTTCGTTTATGCTTCCTCAACTCTCATAGTTTATTATTGCTGGTTATAGTGGAAGTCAGTTATGGTGAGAACAATGTGGTTAACAAATAGTAAAAATATTGAAAATATATATTAACAAACAGGCCGATGAATATTTAGATGGTAAACAAATAATTTGTGCAACACCAAGAAATTTCCTAGATTGGTGAATATAACTTCGAATACTTCACATTAATATAACTGGTTTTTTCACTTTTTCGGTATGAAAGAGGCTTCCATTAATGTAGAAAAAAATACTGATAGAAAGCTATAAAACAGAAACTAGAATGAACGAAACAAATGTAAAATAAAAGAGTCCCACTTGTATGTATGTACGTAGGTCAAATGAAAAGGCTCGTACTATTCTGTAAAGTACCACTTCTCCATATCCAAGATTCACATGCCTGTATAAACAATCTAAACTGTGTTGCAGATTAATTACAAACCTGGACACGGCTCCAGAGCAAAGGAACTGAAGCCCTAGCATTATTTCGAACATAAACATTCGTCATGAGTGGTTGATTAGGAAACTCCAAAAGAAGTGTGTCTGTATCCGTAGTCAAGTTATGATTGGAAATTGTAAGGCTTCGAGGAACAGCATCGTATATGGTTCCAGCACCACCAGAATTTTCTGGACAACCCAAACTACGTCCCCCTACATAAATAGCATTTATTTGGCAATACCTTAGCAATACTACTAAATGAATTAACATATAATGACATAGTGCAAGAATCATCCATAGTAAGCAATCGAAGTTGCATTGCAAACAAGCAATCCTTATTATTAACATCCATAGTAAGCAATCAAAGTTGCATTGCAAACAAGCAATCCTTATTATTATCGCCAACAAATAAGTTTCCAAGTACTAAAGAATTCAAGTAGAAAAAAATTGTAGAAGAGAGATGAAAAATTTAAACCAATCTCCCTTCATCCACTCATGCTAAACATGTAACTAAAAAAATGTTAAACATCAGCATTGAGTGCCACACAAAAGAGTATACTGGGACACCAATCATCAGTGTCAGGTGATGAAAGATCTCTCTAGATACCAAAGTAAGCCCTTCTTAAAGAAAGGGCTAAATGAAGGGAAAAAGTATAAACAAGGAGACTCTCAAGCAGGATATTTCTGTTATCCATCCTATGTATATGTATGGATGATAATAGAAATAAGAGCCAGTCCCCTCAAGTAAAAGGAAAATTTAGTTTAAACAAACTACAAGTTTTAATACTAAACGTATTTTATGTTCTGGCAGAATTGGCAGAATAAATCATCCACACTCCTCGGAAAATAGAAAATACTTTGAACATTCTTTTTGTAGGAGTAATTACTCCAATAATCTAAGGAAATCTTGTGCCCTTAAAAAAATTAGAGAATAGTCACAATAGAACATGAAATGGAAAGAAAACAATAAAAACTGGTAGAATCTAAAATCAAACATTTCTAAGTCTCTACTCTTGTATTGAATTCATTTTAATCCCCTAATTTCTAATTCTCATATAGTCGTAATGATCTTACCAGTAAAATACTTCATTTCCTATCAAACGGGAAAAACAAAAAAACAAAAAAAATCCCGATCTTACAAGATGGGCTAGCAAACTATGCACAACTGAAACATACATATATCCACTATTTCCCATGCACATTTTGGAGTTCAATAAATATACTGAAAAGATATAGAAGCAACTATTATAGAACAGAATTCATGCACGCATAGACACATTAATGTGTTTTGTACGTGTATGTGTATGTGTGTATTAATACAATATAGATACTGCATATAAGTTTGTGACATGCTCCACGATTATGTAACAGCACTGAAGTTCACTAATGGCTTATAACTCTCACCATGCGCAAAAATTTGGGGATCATGCCTGCTGAAAACATCAACAGAGATTCTTCCACCGCCACCACCACCATATCCATTACCTCCACATGTACTTATCCTGCCATCGCCAATCCTGTTCTTCACAAGCAACATACTTTAATGTTCAATTTTATCCCATGTCCATGTATTACGAAAAAAAAAAAAAACAAATTTCTTGTAAAAATAAGAATGATGAAACGAAAACCAGCTGAATTAAGCCCTCAAATACCCCACTATCTAAAAGAAGAAAAACTCATGCAGCTCTCGTGCTATAAAATTATCAAACAGACAGGGGAGATATACACTGTTCCAATGTGAAAACAAGTTGAATTTAGAGAAAGTAGACACACAGATGGGGAGAGAAGATAGATAATTACATTTTGTGAGCAAGGATATAGATGCTGCCACCTGACCCACCTCCTCCTTTTGTCCCTCCATCACCCCCATCAGCTAGAACAGCCCCATCAATTATAAGAAGGTCGCCTACGTTCAACTTAATCTTTCCGCCACCCTTTCCACCATAGTCTACCTCCTTGCTCGTGGAACCACCCCGGCTCCCAAAACTGCTAGGCTTCTGCAGCGACGCCCATGAGTACGCATCACCTCCCCAATAGTCCTCAGGAAGCTTGGTTTTATCCGTCAAACAACATGCTCCCCTCCCTCCATGTCCCCCACCTGACCCATCAATACCTTGTGGCGTCCCACTAGTCTGTGACGGCGGATTCCCAGCTAAACCAGTCGTATTCACCACAGACCCATTGAGAAAGCTAGCATTCCAGGCAGCCAGCTCAAAACTCCCGGTAAATATAGACGAATCATTGCTCAGCGTAAAATTGCCAGTAATGTTAATGGTAATCGAACACCCCGGTTTAGGACAATTAAACTTCACCCCAGGCAGTATATAAAAATTCCCCTTCCCAGCTATATACACGTCATGAGTAAGGTTCAAATCGTTGACAATCTGACATGTAGTATCCAAAGAGCCAACTCCATCTAAATCCCGTGTGCAGGAAACCGAAGGCGGATGAGGCGGTGGTGGCGGTGGAGCCGGCGGCGAATAATCATGGTGAGAAAGAAATCCATCGTAATCGAGAATGGAAAATTCATCGACCGTGGACGATGAGACAACAGAATGAGGAGGCTCTGTAACAAGAACAACTACAAGCGCAATAAAATTTGAGAAACGAAGAGAACGAGAGTGAAATCGAGCCATTCACTACTGTCAACAGTCATTAGGTCAGAGATTTCTGTAAGGATTGGCAGTTGAATTAGCAAATGCGATCGGAAACAACAAAACTAAATCCACCATGAATACAACAATTTCACGAAATTCAGAGTACATGCGCGTTGTTCGTAGAAATGGAGAAACCCTAGAATTCGCTCTGCAAAACAGACTGCAACACAAAAAAACCAGACGGAGAAGGTAAGATTGATGTTTTCTGAGAGAGAGGAAGGTGGGGGAGAGAAGAAGTCCCCTTTACTTATTTCCACGATGAATGAATGGCAGGGAAATGTTTTGAAACGGCCTGCGATGAATGAGCTCGCCCACGTGTCCTTCTCTCATTGGTTAACCTCCATAACCCACCCTCTTTTTTGACTTTTTGTTGTTTTCCCGCGCGCGGTTGGCACGTGTGGAAGTTAATCGTGGTACTTTGTCGTATTCATCATTAAACAATAATGAACCCTACCTGTCTTAAAAGAGCGTAAATGTCAATCGCTAACTTACAAATTTATTTTTTAACTTTATCTTAATTAATTACTGAAATTTATTAATATAAATTTTATAATTTTATCAAATATTCATTAAACACAAAAATTTTAAAAATAGAATGGAACGGTATTTTTCAGGCAATGATGTAATTAAATTAAGTCGACTTACACTAGCCAACTTAACTCAAACCTACTCGAGCAGATCCATACATCAACATGGATAATTCATTATATTTAACTAAATCGGAAGATCCAAACCGAAACTATACTAAAATACCGAATTTTGTAATTTAACTTTAATTTTGAGTATCCGACAAATTTAGACCGTTGACACAATTACTTGATCGTTGATTTGACGATGGACAATGTAATAAATGCAATAGACCTCTCGCTATCGTCATAAATTATGTTAAAAGAATTTTATAATAAATATTACATAGAAAGAAAGAAGAAAAAAAAAGTAAGTTAACTCGGCCATTGATTCAATTGTTGTCAGCTTTCCCTTCATCAAGAAAACCAGTTGATAATAATAAACTATAGCATTTATTTCTGACCTGACCAAAAGCATGCTTGATGCTTCTACCAAAGTTGTCAAACAAAACAAACTCGACTCTTCAATTCACCATTTCATTTGTATATTCTTCTCGAGGAAGAAAGGTATTATAAATCTAACCGTTCAAGCTCTCCACTAGTAGAAATTGTTCTCTTTGAGTTTTAAAATGCATCTGCTAGGAAGAGATTTCTACACCCTTATAAAGAATAATTTGTTCCCCTCTCCAACTGATGTGAGATCTAATACCATTTGTAACAGCCCAAACCCACCGCTAGCAAATATTGTCCGTTTTGACTCATTACGTATCGCCGTCAACCTCACGGTTTTAAAATACATCTACTAAGGAGAGGTTTCCACACCCTTAGAAGAATGCTTCGTTCCCCTCTCCAACCGACCAAATTTCTTATCAGCAAAGTCACAAAGAACTTGGTCTGAATTCACATGCGAACACAAAAGCTAATAAACACTTAGTATTGATAAATCAGCTGAGCTCAACCAGACATATAGCTCTACAACAATGGCATGAAACGCTCTGTAATGTAATACAATGCAATATATTTGGAGCCATATGGCTTAAAATTGCTATATATGTATGTAGAAGGTTTGCCCATGCCCAGGTCAACATCTTTATCTACTGCCTCATCAGTGCATGATGGAAATAAAGGACATATTTTAAGTTAGAAAACACTAACCAGCAAGCAGATGGGTTGGTGTGTCTGTGTATGGAACTGTACAGAATTCTTTACTCGAAACGTCGACAATTGAGATATGATCAATTTGACGCATTTTCTTGTGGCAGTAGCTTTCTTAGTATGAACCTTGGCTTCCTTGGCCTGCTGCAAGTTTTGAAAAGATTAGCTGAAAGAAGTATATCAAGCCAAATAATGGCTCAAGTTCCTCACAGTCTCTTCATTTTTCAGCTTTGTTATGGCTTTCTTTTCTATTTTTCAAACCCACTCCTTGCTTATGTGCAGAAGTTTCCCAGTTTCCTCAAGTGACTTGGGTCAGAAATCGACAAGTCCATATCGCATAGCCAGGACCTGCCTCTCCCTTGATTCCAACCCTTCAAGAAGATTAAAAATGTCGATCTTCATGAGTTTTCTTCACGGTCTCTTCTGGGCTTTGTATTGAAGTATCTGCTGCAAATTCCTGCACCATAAGAGCAACTCTTAAAGAACATAAAATATCAGATCAGAGTTTTCATATATATTGTAATTTGTAACATTAATCTGTAAGAGCCCAAGTCCGATGTTGTTAGTAGATATTGTACTCTTTGGACTTTTCCTTTTCAGCTTCCCCTCAATGTTTTAAAATGCGTCTGCTAGGGAAAAGTTTTCACACCCTTATAAAAGGTGTTTCGTTCTCCTCTCCAACCGATGTGGGATCTCACAATCCACCCTCCTTCATGGCTCACCTTCCTCACTGGCACACTGCCCAGTGTCTAGCTCTGATACTATTTGTAACGACCCAAACTCACCACTAACAGATGTCGTCCTCTTTAGGCTTTTTCATTCGGGTTTCCCTTCAAGTAAAACGCGTCTGCTAAGGAAAGGTTTCCACACCCTTATAAAGGATGTTTCATTCTCCTCCCCAGCCCCTCAGCCGATATGGGGATCTCACAATAACCTTGTATGGAAGAGAGAATCATACCATATATTTCACATTTAGGCCATCACTCCTCTTCTGATCAATCGAACCCACAACTCTTAAGCAGTTGTTAACAAGTCTAACCTTAGCCAAAGGAAGACCAGTGGCCTTCGCTATATCGTCATCAGAATATCGACTACTACCGTTGTTCAAGACCTTTCGGGCTTTCTGAATCTGATTCATTGCCTTGGTCAATGACCACTACAAAGAATTATAAAGACAAGTCAGTTATACATGAATATGAAAACTTTACGAAAAATCACCTCCTGGTGAAAACAGAATCATACTGGAATTTGAATTTCCCTTGAATTTCGTGCAACAACGCTCGACATCGATTTCCTTATCCAGTAATGGATATAGGTTGAGAATCTAAAACCCCTTTTTGGGTCAAACCTTTCCACACCTTGCAGAACACCAACAGCTCCTGCCTATGAACATACAAGAACATAAACATCAAGATGCATATCCTCTCCATTTTCTCATAAAACGGAAATGAATCGACCTGAACTAAGTCCTCCATTGGTAGTCCAGAGCATCGATACTTCTTCGAAAGGAACCGAACTAATGAATTAGTAGTCCTTAAGAGTTCATCTTGACAGAACCAACCAAATTGCAGCTGGTTTTGGAGGTCCTTTATATCAACACCAGCAGCATTGGCCCAGCAACTCATGCTTGATATTTTTCCAGTTGCCTTCTCTAAAGTTTCTCTAATTCTTTCTAAATTTGCAACTACCTGCAATGAGACAGAAGCTTAGCAAAATAAGTATTGAAAAGATGATAGTGCGCATATCAGAGATGAATCAACCTTAACCCCTGTGGATATTTCAACTTCATTTTGTGCAACGGTCAGTCTTTTAAACGCTCTTTTTCTTGAAAATATCGAGGAATTACGAAATTTTTCTTTAGCCGCTCGTGTAGTTAGCAGCTGGGAAGCAACTTTATCAGCATTATCCACTGCTCTCTCTTTTACTGATCTTCTTCCTGCTCTTTTTCCAGAGTAAACTACGACGTCATCATTCTGGCCATCTGTTTTTGGGTTTACATTATGATATCCACCGTCCTCAATGGCTAAGTCATTTTGGCCATCTCTTCCCATGCTTAGCATGCCTGATTCAGCAAAAGTTTCCTCCAAAACATCAATGTTTTTCATCAACATGCCAAAAGACGACGCTTTGCCAGTAGGCAAGCTCGTACCAGCAGAAAAGTTGTTGTCTACTCTGGACGGCCTGGTGCCTTTTAACCCGTAATGCAAATGACCGGGTGGCCTTGCCTTATTGTTTATCTGAGATATAAGAGTGATGAGAATGGTAATAACATATAAGATCCATCTGATAAGATGCAAATATACTCCTGAAACTATATCTTTAGCTGGATTCTTATCCATATCGACGTATCTCGTTCTCTCCTTTCATTTTACCGCATCATTTCCAAAGCGCTCGAGTTTATATTTGTACTTTCAATGAATGAACCAAACTCGTCCTTGTGGATTTGATCCTACATGCAACTATTACGATCTAAAATTATTTTCAAGTAAGGAACTATCATTTGTTAGATTCAACGTCAAGAACAATAAACTAAGACAAGTCAAGACTATATGTGGGTGTTGTGTGATGTTCATTGCGCAGGTCTAACCTCTATCACTTTCAAATCTAACAGATCATCGGCCGAGGATTGTGGAGCTTCGGACAAGCAAGTGTACGTTTTAAAGGTCTCTCTAGAGATAAATTCTCCTTCCTCACAAATACTGGAGAAGAAGGAAAGTCTTCCTGAACCAAAAGAAGCTTCCCTGCCTTTAGCTGTTTTAAAATGTAGAACTGAACAAAATTAGAGACGAAGACTAGCTACATGCATTCCAACGCCAAAAATCATGACATCTTTCTCACAAGCATCCAAGCTGGAGGGGAAAATTTAAGATAGATCGAATGCACGCTTCATTGATAGACAAGCAAAGTTATCAACAACTAGTTAATCATAAACAGTTTTGTAATCAGTAATTGTGAGATCCCACATCGGTTGGGGAGAAAAACGAAATATTCTTTATAAGGGTGTGGAAACCTCTTCCTAGCAGATGCGTTTTAAAAACATTTAGGGGAATCCTAAAAGGAAAAGCCCAAAGAGGGCAATATCCGCTAGTGGTGGGTTTGGGCCGTTACAAATGATATCAGAGCCAGACACCGAGCGATGTGTCAGTGAGGAGGTAAGCCCCGAAGGAGGACGCTAGGCCCCCAAGAGGAGTGGATTGGGGGGTCTCACATCAATTGGAGCGTGGATTATGAGATCTCACATCTGTTGGTGAGGAGAATGAATCATTCTTTATAAGGTTGTGGAAACCTCTTCTTAGGAGACCGTTGTAAAAACCTTGAGGAAAACCCCAAAAGGGAAAATCCAAAGAGAACAATATCCACTAGCGGTGGGCTTGTGTCGTGGGCTTGTGCCGTTACGTGAAAAATCTTCATAGCCAGACAATCCCAGAAAACTTAAAACAAGTTTAAAATTCATGAACTGTCACTTCAGAAATCTCCTCAGAATCTATTGCTCATCTATGTGACAAGGAATACTCTATATAACTATCGCAAAATTTTGGTGGGATGTTCATCATCTTTGATACAAAATTTCCAAGAAAGGCCCAAAAATTTCATTTCTCAAACGATTAAGATTATCGCCGCGAGAGCAATTTAACTATTGATTACAACGACAAGTACAACAAAGCAAGCTAAAAAATGCGAAAACCAATCAGTAACACCCTGAAGCTTGCTGAATCGCATCATCACAAGACAAAAGAAATAAGCTCAAAATTCATACATAAACACAGATATCAATCGACGCTAGTTTCTAATTCAGCATCGTAGTAATAGGCCTAGAATCAAAGCAAAAGTCAAGAAATGAAACAGAGAAAAAGAACTAACAGGCATATGGAGAAGCCTTGGAAGGGGAGCTCCGGCGAGAATGAGCCTGAATTTGAAAACTCCACTTGAGATTTGGCCTGAAACTTGTTGCCATCGTGAAAATCGAAGGCAGGAAGAGGCGGGAGCTTGGCGGCGAAGTAGTAATTACTCGTACAATCTAATTCCAAATTCCCTGCCACTAATTTTTAATCCCGTTTTAAGAATTTGGAAAATAAAGAAAATTAATTAAAATATTAGTAATGATATTATATTCCCTTTATATTACATTCTATTGCTATATTTTTTAAATAATATTTATGTCGATTCGTCTATTAGATCAATATTGACCCTATAAATATATAGAAATGTCGATGAAAATAGTTTGTTTGATGGTACTTGTCACTTGGATAACCGTAGAATTTCTAGAGCTAATACGTGCAATAAACCCTGACTTCTAGAAGGGATGTATTTATTAGACAAAAAAAGGCTAACACAAGCTTTATCGTTACTCTGATGATTCATGATAGCTCGATAAATCGCACGAGCAACGCATCATTCAAATTTATTATCTACCAACTTTCGATGACACGATCATCATGTGAATTAGGGTTCGATTTCAAAGAGGGAGCCTGAGAAATGGCTACCAGATCCGAGGAAGGCAACATACATGTAAAATAACTTGACACGGGGAGGTAGTAACAATAAATAACAATACCGGACTCCTCGAGTTTAGTAATTTGATTGATCAACCAACCAAAAAACTTTGACGCTCGATGTTCACAAATCACTCAATTACAGTTACTAGCAAGTGATCAACGTATGTGTACAACAAGTTAACAACACGTCCGATACATGTGTGTGTATATATATATATATATATCTCATACCTAACAAATGTCGAACATGCGTATGATAGACAAAGAATGATCGGGTTCGTGCCATAATAATAGCCTCTAAGAAGGGGGAAAAGAACCTTATTTTTTACAAATCATATCCAAACCACATTCCTTAAAAGCAGCTAGCTTCATCAAGACAAAGATGTGAAGAAAGTGGCAGAGAGTAAACTCTGATGCAATTCCAGGAAGAGCAGTGTGCATGCGCATGCATGCATGCATGTAATCCAACATCAGATAAGACAGATGAACAGAACACGACTGTCTCATTCTTGTTTTTCTCTGTTCTAATTTGTTTTGTTCTTTGAGCTGATTTTGTTAGAAAGCTCTCAACTTTCTGTTTTATACTGTTTTTGGTTAAATATTATCAGTTTTAAATATAAATGAGAAATAAATTAAACGAGCGATGTCTTACTGAATGCTTTAGAAAAGGACGTTATTTCATTATTTGGCTATATACGTCTGTGTCTAGGTATATTCCTACGTATACCCTCCATAAAAAATTTCAAAGCCGAAAGTGGAGAGGATCACATTTCTTATAAGGATGTGGAAACATTTCCCTAGTAAACGCGTTTTAAAACCGTGAGGTTGATAGCGATACATAACGGGTCGAAGCGGATAATATCTACTAGCAGTGGGCTTAGACTGTTACAAATGATATCAGAGCCAAGGCATCGAATGGTGTGCTAGCTAGCGAGGACACAGAGCCCAAAAGAAAGGTGGAATGTGAAATCTCACATCGATTAAAGAGGAGATCGAGTGCCAACGAGGCCACTACGCCCCCGAAGGAGGTGGATTGTGAGATCCCACATCGATTAGAAAGAGGAGAGCGAGTGTCAACGGGAACGTTGAACTCCGAAAGAGGTGTATTGTGATATCCTACATCGGTTGGAGAAGGGAACGAAGCATACTTTATAAAGGTGTGAAAACCTCTCCTTAGTAGATGCGTTTTAAAACCACGAGGCTGATAGCGATGCGCAACGGACTGAAGCGAATAATATCTATGTATGTTTGTTTCCCTACATAATGAGTAGAGAAAAGGATATCTCCTATATCTCCGTTGTGGGGCTCGTAAATCATTCTCCATTCTAATGAAATTTTGCATCAAATGATGGAAAAATAAACTGAAACTCCTCTCGGAGAAAATCTCGAGGCTAATTCTTCACAAAAACGAGTTTGAAAAGAGAGAGTGAAGGGTACGATGTAATCCTAAAGAGAACGTTGGAGGAAGAAACGAGCATAATCATGGATGAAATCATAAGAATGGCATACAATGATGTGTGCATAATCATATCAATAATACAAGGAAGTGAAGAACTTGGCGTGTAGAAATGGAAGTGGGGAAGATGAAAGGGATGGAAAACGAAAGGGCATGCAGAATTGAGGTTTATATTCTTCACAACTCTCCAAAATCTAAGCTTTGCTTTCTCGTGTAAACCAACAAAACGTTGGCTCATTAAACGAGGCTCATGTCCTTCCCTTTTCTTCTTTGGATTATTGCTTGTAATTGCTTTGCTCTTCTTCAAAAACAGAACACTACAGAATGAAAAGGATGGGACAGTTTGAATTATAGAGTGCCCACTCAATCTCTGCTCACTGCACCTACTCTTTTTCGGTTGGTACACTTGTATTATTCGGGATAGATCCTACGTTTGTTGGAGGGTGGAATGATGGAAAACTTCTCCTAGTAGATGCGGTTTAAAATCACGAGGTTGACGGTGGTATATAATGAGCCAAAGTGGACAATATGAGCTGCTACTAATGGTATCAGAGCTAGACATCGGACGTTGGACTCGTAAGAGGGGTGGATTGTGAGATCACATATGGGTTGGAGAGTAGAACGAAACATTTCTTATATGGGTGTGGAAACCTCTCCGTAGTAGGCACATTTTAAAATTGCGAGGCTGACAGCGATATAAAATGAGCCAAAACAGATAATATCTGCTACTGGTGGGTTTGAGCTATTACAAATGGTATCAGAGTCAGTCACTGGACAAGGTGTTAGCAAGGACGCTGGACCCCTACAGGGGGTGAGATTGTGTGATCCTACATTGGTTGGGGAGTAGAACCAAACATTTCTTATAAGGGTGTCGGGGCATACGAAAGGAGCCAAAATTGACAATATATGCTACCGGTAGGGTTAGATTGTGAGATTCCACATTGGTTGGAGATGAGAACTAAACATTCTTTATAAGCATATAAAAACCTCTCCCTACCAGACATATTTTAAAACTGTCAATCACTAGACGTGTGTGAGCAAAAACGCTGGGAACCCAAGAGGTGGATTGTAAAGCAGACACGTTTTAAAGCTTTAACCTTATAAGAGTACGAGAATCTCTTCTTAACAGACACGTTTTAAAGCCGTGAGTTTGAGAGCAACATGTATGAAACAAATTCCTCTTTCATTCTAAACCTTTCCACCTTATATAAACACTTCTTCTTCTTCTGCCATCCTTACCTTTAAAGCTTTAACCTTTTGACATATCCATCCATCTCTTTTTGTTCTTTCTTTTTTCAGTCTCTAAAAAGATGGGCAGCCTTCAAATTTGGCACAGAAACAAACACCTTTCAATTCCCTTCCTCTTCTTCCTCTCTGTTTTCCTCTTCATTCATCTTACATCCATAGCTGAAGGTAAGCCATTCACTCTATTCTACACATTACACTTTGTTTCCTTATAACTTGTTTCAATTTGTTTCAAACTTCAAGAATGCATTTGTTCACATAGGCAGAGGTTTCCAGACGCCATTAATGGAGGACAGGAAGGTGGAGGAACAGCCCAGCACGGCGGAGCTGGTGAGGATGAGGAGGAGTCAGATAGGGTCACAGCCGCCAAGCTGCCGGAGAAGGTGCAGGGAATGCGGCGGACCTTGTGAGGCAGTTCAAGTACCAGTAGCAGTGCATGATTCATCACATGAGAAACAGAGGAGAAGAACAAGAAGAAGAATAAGAAGCCATTTCTCTAGTGAAGCTTCTTCTTCTTCTAAACATAATAAGGTGGCTCTGTCTAGTGAAGATGAAACCTCAAATTACAAACCCATAAGCTGGAAATGCAAATGTGGGAATTTCATCTTCAACCCATGATTTTGCTGTTCTTTCAATTCTTTTTCATTCAATAAAAATACCAACTTGTAAAGATCAAAGATCTGGAAATCATCCATTGTTCTTGAGTTTCTGTGTTTTTCAAGGCAATTAGGCAAAGGGATGTCAGGTGGGTGAAAAGTACAGAGATTTGGTGATTTGTAAAGGGAGAAGAGAAATGTAATGAGATATTTGAAAGTTTTAGAAGAGAGAGAAAGGGAGAATTATTATGGTGAGATTAAGAGAGAGAAAATGAGGTGGAAGTGTCATAGTGTCTGTCAGGTAGAATTCAGACATTTCTGTTCTTCTTCCTGGTTTTCGTATAATATAATATTTCTGAATCTGGAAAAATCTCCATGGCTACAGAACAGAGTAACCTCAATAAACTCAATTCATCTCTCCCTCCTCTTCCCTAAAAATGCTATAGACCGAGGGTGGGACAAGACCTCTTACAACGGAAAAGAAAGTCAAGTGGACTCCCGACTCTTCGCCCGCAGTAAGGAAGGAAGGAGACATTGGAAAGACTAGACCATAGACCTCTTATACCGGAAAAGAAAGTCAAGTGGACTCCCCACTCTTCGCCCGCAGTAAGAAAGGAAGGAGGCATTTGAAAGACTAGACCATAGACCTCTTATGCCGAAAAAGAAAGTCAAGTAAGAAAGGAAGGAGGCATTAGAAAGACTAGACCATAGGACCTTTTATGCCTCTCATGCCAGAAAAGAAAGTCAAGTGGACTCCTCACTCTTCACCAGCAGTAAGAAACTAAAATTGAGGCAGCCGACCACCACCAAAAATAAAGAAGAGATGAAATTCTAGATTGAACAGAACCCACCTAAGATAATACGCACTAAGATGAGAGCTAACTATTGTTGCCTAATGGGAACTTCGCCCATATTCAGGAAACCCGGCTGAATAGTTTCTTAGTACTAGGATCAACTCTTCCTTCCTTGCCGGGTAGCGTAGTAGCATGAAGAAGATATTGCTAATAATCTAAATACAACCCAATTGGCCATGACTATCTATTTAGTAGCATAGTGAGCAGCATGACTTGAATCCCATTCATTCAGAGCTGTTATAAGCGTAAATTAGTTCATCTAAACAGAATTTACATTGGATCCTTGGCACTTCCCTTTTCTACCTTAGAAATATTTACAGTCATTCTAGTAACTCCCAACAAAAGCACAGGGGGCTGTAAGATCAGTTCAGATTTTGAGCTAATTAATGCAAGTTAAAAAGGCATATTTACACCTTCCAAACTGCAAACTTGTCATCTTAGTGAGCGAGCAGAGCATTAGATAATGGCTGAAACCAAAGGACAGAATTCATACGAAATGGCTTCTCCCTTCCTTCAGCCAAGTGAGTTGCCCGAATGAGCTGCAACTGGAAGCCTCGCCCTCGAGCGCTATTCAAGAGTTATCTGGAGAGCACTGAGCGTGACCGTATGAGAATCAAAGAAAGTTTCTAGTAAGTTGCTCTCTTCTTGTACTTGCTCTGTACCAAGCCCAAGAGGAAGTCTGTGAATATGTGCTCATATTCTGGCATTTTTCCATACCCTGCAATGAGAACCGGCTTTACTCGTAAACAGAATTGTAGGGTCCGAACGAACGATAAAATTGCACAATATTTGAATCTTCATAGATGCAAAACTTATAAATCCTATAAAATACAACAACTTACCAGGGAAGTAGTTGATATCAATGACATAATAACGATCTCGAGTTCCATACTCTCGAATAATGTCGAGGTTGAATAATCGAAGCCCCTGTACAGAGGTAACAGAATGAGCATATGATCACACTCCATTTTTTCTAGCAAACGATTTTAGGCAGGAAAAATGGGGTAGAGGAGCAAAAGCCTTACCAGTCTACGTCTGAGTTCCTTTGCTAATCTCTCTAATAGAGGTCGTGGAGGAAGTTCTGCAGATAAAAAGTATGCACTGAGTTTAAACGTCCCTCTATGAAATTTCGATTTTTGTAACAAAAGATGTTTCTGAGCCTTATCGCTAAATATTGATATAGGGTTTATGTCTTCAACCTCCGAGAAACACATGATACATGTTGTGAGATCTCATATGGGATGGGGAGGAGAACAAAATATTTTTATAAGAGTGTGAAACCTCTCCCTAGCAGACACGTTTTAAAAACCTTGAGGGGAAGCCCACAAGAAAAAGCCCAAAGAGGACAATATCTGCTAGTAGTGGATATGAGCCGTTGCACAAACAAAGAGCCTGATCTCTTGAAGTAAAACAAACAAGTTAATAAAGACACCTAAGGTGTCAAAGGACAATCCTTCAAATTTGATGACTTACCAGCAACACAAGGATCCAGATCAGCATCATCAGCAGATGCAGCAGCATGAGAAACTCTCGGGAAACGATAAATACCAGCATTTTTCAAGACCTCCCACATGCTGACATTTGGCAACGAAAAACGTCTGACCACTTTTATAGCTTCACCAACTATGAAAACCTTAAACATGACACCTCCTGGCACCATGAGTAATAGCAATTCAGAAACAAAATTCACAGGATCCCAAATTATGGAAGTAACATGGAATGAAGGGAAGAATGTTAGAACTACTCACCATGGTTGACAAACTCCTGGAGAACAAGAGGAGGTTCAAGCTTTTGGAGGGAGTACTTATCATAAGCTAAAGATAATTCATGGGACTTTTCACTTCCATCAGCAACCAACGGTTTAGCAACTGATACCAACGTGAGAAAACCATAAAGATATAGCATAAAAATATGAGAAAAACGTTGTCAGGAGATATTGATGATCAGTATCACGTATTGCATAGATATACATACCAAGAGGAAGTTTTAGCCCAACCTTCCCCACCGCATCAGAAATGGAGGATGCATCTTTCTTTATGACTAATTGCCTTGGAACATCTACTTTGCCTGCACAGAAAAAAAGGTCGCTTTTCCCCTTTGTCAGTAAATTCCAGAGTAATATCCCCATATATACATATATAGTACTCAAGCAACACATTCTCAACATTTACCATAGGATTCAGATAATTCCATGTCGGCAACTGCCTGGAGCATAGACTGGCGATTGTGCAAGTGCTGTATCGCATCTGGGGGATCTAGAACGGTCACTTCTGGGTGTGTTTGTCTGTATTCCTACAAACATATGCAGAGAGGGTAAGAAAACAAATTGGAGCTTATTTGAAAATGTTTCAGACATATGGTACACATCATGGCCAAATGAGCACCAGAAAGGGTCAAGGGTGCAAGAATACAGACGAAATTAATTTACAGCTACTAAGAGCTAAATCATAAACAGGTATCCATAAGAAGAACCAAGAAGAAACCACTTTTGACCACAAAGAATCAAATAAAAAAATAACATTCACCCTCTACAGTCGGAAAAACAACTTACAAGAAGAACAAGAAGAAACCAAAGGAATTTGGAATAAACACAGAATCTAAGTTAGAAATAGATTAAACATTAAGCTTTCGTTATCTTCAGATATTAGACATCTGTCGAAAAAATTAAAATTTAAGAACATATCGGTATGAGTACCTTCAAACACATACATGCACAATGAAAAAGTGGAGAACAAATTCAACTGCTTGCATATTTTTTAGTTCAAATTTTTGATAAACTATTGGATTGGAAAAATCATTCACAATACAACATTCATGTTCCACAATCCAACCTGTAGATATATCAAAACGAGACATCTAAATGTCACCATTATAAGTTATTGAACTGTAAGAGAAATATAGTAAGTTTAGATGACCCACAAACTTCGTAGAAGCTGAGAATCGTTTAGCACCTATAACCCCGCACAACCTTTTCCTTCTAAATCATAAGAGCAGAACATTTGTCTGACTGAAAGCTTATAAGAACGAGGAGGAGGAGACTTGCAGACTCTAATCCTATAAATCAGAGTTCTAACAAAATCTTATATTGATGGGTTAGGCAACTCTTAAGCCATCTCCCGTTGGGCCAATCAATGTTCAAATGGGTAGCCATGTACTGTGGAGAATGGAACCCATACAAGTTAATACAAATCAGTAGCCATTTTTTGGTTTTGGCAGAAATTTCCAAGAAAACCTGAACAAATCAGCCATGTGCCAAGAAGTGGAGACATCCTCCCTTGTTGGAACCTTAAGGCCTCGACCTCTACTACTGAATCATGATTCATGACGTTAGAGAACCAGTCTGCACATTAGGCCAGATGTGGATGAGCTTTAAATCAAAACTAGTTAACCCATTAGCCAATGTCAGTGATCATTCAACTCCAACCATGTGATTAGATGTTGCATAGCATACAAGTTAGGCATACAATATTACATTCCAGGAGGTTTAGGTGCAATTTGGACACAATAAAAACAAGTCAAAATGAAACTAAATATTCAATAATAGAGGACTAACCTCGAGAATCTGACGCCACTCTTTTCCTGACAACTGCACGCAAGAAAAACAAACAGAGAAAGGGGGCTGTCATAAAGAGTTGAAAAGCCGTAAGCACCATACAAAACCAACTACAAATCACTGGGACCCAGCAAATGGTGAAAAAAATAAAAATCAGAAATGACGCATGCAACCCATATGTGGTGGAGGAAGGATTCTGAATCGCACTCTGTGATAATGACATAGAATGAACCTCCTCCAAAACCACAAGGTTTCTTTCAAGGAAATTCGACGGAAACACTAACCTTGTGCAGAACAATGTCAAATGGCCCCTGATCCGACAGAGGTCTGTTTTGATCAATTGCAACGAACAATATACCCTTGTTCCTGCATTTCCCAGTGCAGATTATGAGGTAAACTAACAATCACTCAATAATCTTCATGATGTGAGAATATAGATAGAGAAATTATTCACATCCATTTTTTTTTCAAAAAAACCCAAATCTTAATTGCAGCCTCAGATTTCACAGAAAACAAGAGAACACAAGTTGATTTATCAGCTCATTTACGATTACGATATTTATTAAAACATTCTGACATTTTTTTTCCTCTTTCCCTCAACCCAAGCAAAGGAAAGCGACGTCTACGGCTCTGGAATTTCCCTCTATGAAACCACAGCCGGAAACATAGATTCTTACATTTCTGAAGGAAGAAGAAGAAGAAGAAAAGGAAAACAAACAGCCATCCACAGATTTTTCTTTAAAAAAATTTGGAAGGCCTATTCCATTCCAAAAGGTTTCGAAACGAACACAACGCAAGATATAACAAAAAGATCGATGAATTAGGGGTTAGTAAACATGTTTACCTAGCTAATCCTTCAAGCTTAGGCTTCATAAAGCTCTTGGTCTTCTTAGAGGTAAGAGCATAGCCAACAACAACCACCTTCCGCTGGTGAGCATTCGAATACTTCGATTGAAGCGACATCGTTTCGTCCATTTCAGCCGGCGGTTCGTTGGTGGCGTAAGGCGAATCCTCCTTCAACCTCATAATCTCCTCCCTCCGGTAGCTTCCCCTGCCTGGAATCGAACAACAAAGGCACAAGAAAGAAACGGAAACTGCCGAAGAAAATGCAGGAGATTGAGAATTTCAATGGCGAAAGAGAAGCAAAGAGGGAAAAGGTCGAAAGCTTCCGCGAAAAGAGAGAGAGAAAAAAAAAAAAAAAATCTTCACGAGAACCAGAGAAGGAGGTGAGGGTAGAAATGGAGATGAATTATTTATAAACAGATTTTTTTTTTTTTTTTTTTTTTAAATTTAGTTTCAAAAATGTAATTAGCAAACAGAAAAAAGGAATGGTTTCTAGCTGGACTGTCTTTTTTTTTTTTTTAATGGGTTGAAAAAAAATTAAAAAATAACAATAATAAATAAATAAATAAATAATAAAAAAAAAGGCTCCACGCGTTGTGGGCAGTTTTACACGTTTTGAATTCCGTTGTGTTCAACGGAGTTTAGGCAAATCTCCGGGAAGCCCGTTTATTCTTGTTCACATCTTATTATTATTATTATTAATTTTTTTTAAGGGTTATTTATTTAT